AGGGCCTGGTTTGAAAAGTTTAGCAAGGTTGTTCAACAATTTGGTATGACTCGGTGTGAAGCGAGATCACTCTGTCTTTTATCGACACTCAAGTCGTTGGATGTGTTTACTTGATAGTATATGTTGATGACATCGTTCTTACAGGTAGTGACAACCATGATATCTCTCAGTTGAAACAACATCTCTGTCACCATTTTCAGACCAAAAATCTTGACAAACTTAGATATTTCTTGGGTATTGAGGTGGCACAGTCCAATGATGGTATTGTTATATCTCAGAGGAAGTATGTCATGGATATTTTAGAGGAAACTGGGTTGATGAATTCAAAGTCTGTTGATACGCCCATGGATCCCAATACTAAACTTTTACCAAATCAGGGGGAGCTTATACCTGATCCTGAACAATATAGAAGATTGGTTGGAAAATTGAATTATCTTACAGTTACTCATCCTGACATTTCCTTTGTAGTCAGTGTGGTAAGCCAATGAAGATCATTGGAATGCAGTCATTCGTATCTTAAAGTATATTAAAGGATCTCCTGGAAAAGGATTGTTATATGATTCTAATAACCATACAAGAGTTGTTTGCTACTCGAGATGTCGATTAGGCAGGATCTCCTTCGGATAGAAGATCTACATCCGGATATTGTGTCTCCATTGGTGGTAACTTGATCTCATGGAAAAGTAAGAAACAAAGTGTTGTGGCAAGATCTAGTGCGAAGCGGAATATAGAGCTATGACCTCAGCTGCTTGTGAACTTGTTTGGCTCAAGCAATTGCTTAGAGAGTTACAATTTGGAGATGTCACTCAAATGTCACTTGTGTGTGACAATCAGCCGCTTCTTCATATTAGTTCTAATCCTCGTCTTTCATGAGAGGACCAAACACATTGAGATTGATCTGTCATTTCATTCGAGAAAAGATTATGTCCGGAGACATCAAGACCGAGTTTGTTAACTCAAGTGATCAGTTAGCGAGATATTTTTACTAAATCTTTACGGGGTCCTAGAATTGATTATATTTGTAACAAGCTTGGCACATACGATTTGTATGCTCCAACTTGAGGGGAGTGTTAGATATTGTTTAGATATTATTTAATATTGTTAAGATATTGTTAGATATTAACCATAATATCAAACAATATCTTCTCTTTATTCTGTTACTTTCAGTTACTCTTTTAGTTGTATCTCTTTACTATAAATAGACTACCCTATGTGTGATTTATACACAAGGGAGATTAATCTCAAACTCTATTTCTTCTATATTCAACAATAACAATTAATTAACCTTTGGGTGATCCTGAAATGTCTTACAATAATGAACTTCAATTAACCCATAAACCAATTATTCATAATTTTAGCGTTCATAATAATTGAAATAAAATCATTAATAATTTGAAATTAAAATAACCTTAAAATTTTGGCCACTTTGGTGGCTAACAAAATTTATCATACTTAATTTCAAATAAATAATAACTTTAATTGCTATTAATCATTTATAACATTTTCTATTATTATTATTTTTATTTAGCAATAACAAACCATAATTCATTCGCATATCCCATTTTGGCCTCCACATTAACATTTACGTTTCAAATTTATATTGCAATTTAAATCAATTACAGCGGCCAACATTCACGTTTCAAATTTATATTGCAATTTAAATCAATTGCAGCGGCCAACATTCATAATAAGACAAATGCCACGGAAATAAAATCAAATACACTCATGTTTATTCTCATTTTATGCAACTGGCGCACCTAATATGCAACTGGCGCATGTTGGCGCACCTAATATGCAAGTGGCGCACGTAAGGCAACCCTAAGCATGTTTGCAATTCAATTGCACGTTAGCGCACCTAATATGCAACTGGCGCACGTAAGGCAACACGTACGTGAATTCCTTCAACTGCCCAGGTTCCGTCAACTTGATTCATCATTAATTAATTGCAGCAAAATTAATTACATTATAAAAACTATTATTGACGCCAAACACTAAAATACCTAAATTTTCTTTTCAATTAAAAGGATTGCATAACCATTGAAACACATAAATTATCAAATTGATTTCAATTTGAAATTAAATACAGCCTTATCCATGAATTAGGGCTTATCTTTTTATTCAATTTTGGGAAAAACATATTATGGGAATAAATTAGGGTTCATGCTAATCTGATTGAGAAATCCCTAAATTCATAATTAGGGTTAATCTTAATTTGAGAAAAACATAATTTGGGAAAAACTATCATTAGAGGAAAATCATAAATTTAATAATTATAGCTCTGATACCACATGTAAGCTTTTCTGTAATTTTCCTACGTTCTTAATTCATTATAGAAAACTACTCTATAGGATCTTTAGATTATTGATTTTCATAATTTAACATATATCAATACATGAATCATAGTAAGAAGACTAACCTTGATCCATGAGAATATTTTCTTTTTAATCTTTTCGTTCTCCAATCTCATTTTCCCAATCTATCTCTTTGTCTTTCTTTCTCTTCTCACGCTTCGCTTTCTTGATGGTTTACCATGAAAAAACCTTATGGCCGGAGACAAAACCCTAATCCCTTTTATTAACCAACGTCCATCAAATTGGTTACCGTAAGTTAATATTTTATTTTATCTTTATTTTATTCTGACTTCACATAATAACCAATAGGTCCTTATAATTTATTAAATCACATTTGGGTCTATCATTATATTTTATATGAGTCACATAATGGAATGAATTAATTAAATTAATTCTAACATGCGAATCTTTTGAAACTTATAAAAAATATATATAATTTTTAATTAATAATAAAATATGTTACTATCATTTCTCAAGTTTTAAATAGTGGTGTTATTATATATGTGTTTTTGTTCCTGCGTTAAAATACAGGTTAGAGGATAATTTAGGCAACTTTGGAAAAAAAAAAAAAACTTATATGCAGAGTTATATTTATTTTAATATGTTTTGAAGTGTGACTTAGTAAAAACGGGGTGCGAATGATAAAGTCCATAGCAAGATCTTGGGGATGCATTAACCGGATTATTAACAAAGCCAGGCTCAACACCATTGTTGTGTACTTTTCTTCAGGTCATACATAAATTGAATTCTTTGAGTATCATGGTCAAATATACTGAAGTAACAGTTTTTTTTCCTTATCCAATATTATTGAACATAATATTAATGAGAATAGATATGAATAAGTTTGAATTATAAGTACAATCTTTCTTTTTGGATTTGGTCACTAAAAGTCTACAACTTAAAGGGATACATGTAGTGGCAGTGGTTGAGTTCAATTATGGCCAATTCACCCCATTTCTCATCTCATCATCAAATACCCTAAACAAGCTTCTAAATGAAGAGCATATAATGGTTAGTTGGTTGTAATTATGTATATATATCAACCCTTAGGTTTGAAGTTAAGTTATACAATTATTGAAATAATAATACTTCCACGTACACAAATCATACTTATTCTTCAACATTAATTGTCTCTATACTAGGTTAATAATAAGCAAAAAAAAGATTTATATTGAGATTAAAATATAATATTAATTTAAAATAAAAGTATTTAAGTAAATTGTGTATAATAAGGGATTGATATTTGATTTAACAAATAGTTAATTAATTGAAAAGGCAAGAATATTGAAAATTGACACCTTGATGACTTTGAACAGAATGGAGAAGTAGTCACTTCCAAATAGCATGGTGGCTACCCCACTTCCTCTGACCCTCTCAATAAAGTGGGGAATGTTCTGCAAAAATCCAACTAATGCACAATTTTTAAAAACCCTAAATTCTTTCTAGTGGAAAGGATCTTATTTTTTCTACGTGTTCTTTTGCTTCTGCTACTTTAGTGGATTGCACCCACAATCATTCCTCACAAAATTTTGTGTTTGCTAATTATTTAATTTCACCTTCTGCACTGCACTGCACATTGTACTATCCTTTGAAAAAGTCCTACTTATTAAATTATTTTTTTATCAAGTTAACCTTTTTACCATATTCAATTTATTACTTTTTTCAAAAATACAATGAAATTGGGATTAGGATTACTAGAGAAGTGAGTTTTTGGAATGGAAGAAAAAAGATCCCATAAATATCTTATACCAAATTAAAGAATAGCAATGAATAATGTCAATAATAACGACAAGACTGAAAAGATATGATGAATAGTAATTATTTGTTGCTCTTGCAAGAAAAAGATAGTAATGGATTAGGGTTGTTTTCTTCTCCACCCCTCTCAAATCCCAGTCTACCTGAATCCAAAGGTTCCACTTCCACATCTATTGCAAAAAGGAAGACCACAAAGAATGTATCAAACGTCAATTCCAAAAACTCACTTCTCTAATTTCAAATTTCGAATGAATTCATTCAAGTTGATGATGACGGTGACGATGATCACCATGTGTTGCCCCCACACCCTATACATACCATACCCACACATATACCTAAGATGAAGATGTGTTACTCTCAAGTCAAATCTCAAAGACAATGAAAACCTTATAAACCTGTCATGTGATTTGTCTACGTTCCCCCAACATGCTACCCCATCAAATAATTAATGATCAAAGTGGTCACAAATTTCATTTGCCACTGTTTTTACCTTGTAATTACCACCAATACGCTTGATCCAATACGTAGGTACTTTAGACACAAAGTTTGATACATAAAAACCCTACTTTAGATAGAGAAAAAAAAAAAAAAAAAGAGGGAGAGAGAAAGATAGTGCTTGGGGAACCATGCTTTGCCAACTTTTTCCCTTTGGTATTGGTACTACCTGCAGCCAATCCTTAGTGTTGACACGCACGAAAATCCAATATAGAACAAACAAGTTTTGAATAATGTTTGCATGTTTGTTTTTTTGTTTGTTTAATAATGTAATAATAGTATGGATTGTAATGGAGGCCGTCCTTTTCTGAAGATCATGGATTACTTATTTAAATTTGGTGAATTATTATTTTAACTTTTATGATTGAAGGTGGGGATTGTTAAAGCATTCCAATTCCCATGAATGTATGGCATAGGGATAGAAGCGGTCAAACCTCCACTCTTTTAACCCATTTCTTTTTCCTTTGGGATTCCCATCCTTTTCGTCCCTTTCTTTGCAAACAAACAATTCTTAATGAAAGGGAAAGCTCCCATCATTACACTCATCAAACCAAAACAAAAGCCCGTTTCACCATTTTGCGGCACTCACTTTCCCTCTCACAACACATTGCTTTATATGTGCATCATCCATCGAAACCCATTACCATCTCTCTCATCCTTCTCTTCCTTTCACTTCATGCTTCCATTTCCATACTTGCACAATTTCGGCATTATTCAATTCAATCCCCAAAATGTGGTATCTTCTATAACTTAGTTGGCTTTATAGGGTTATAGAATATATGTTACCACCATTTGTCAAAAATGAAACTTGAATTTCGGAGGATGTGAAATTTCTTAACTTTCAAGATCTCTTTGTCTTCACTTCAACATTCTTTCGTGAAGGAAAAAACCAAGGGATTTCCAGTAAAATTCAGAGATTTGGGTCGAGTTGAGAAAACTTTTCTTCACAATTGGTACGGATAAGTAATAACTGCAACGCTCTTTAATTAGTTATTCAGAAAGAAGGGCCACTCCCTTGATTGACAATTGACATATTGCTGCATACACACCCACACAAAAATGACATTGCTTTTTCAGAGAAAAGACTACATGACAGAAGTTGAATCACGTAACAATGCATATATAACAAAAAGTCTCTTTAGATTGACATTGTTTTTCTTTATTTCTTCTGATATATTTGTTATTTTACATTTTTTTCACCCCCTCCTTTGTGAAGTCGTAAAATTACATAATTTAGTTGGTTATTGGATAAACATGAACCAAAATCTTTCTGTTATAGTTTTTCCTTTTGTACTGAAATCTCCTTGAAACTGGTTCAGCTATATAAGGATTTTGGCTCACTTTCAGATTGTTTTATGTTTTTGCTTACACACTCGTGTATCCAGTTTGGAACGACAATACTACTTCAATTACTCACTGGTCAAATTTCTGCTCAGGTTCATGTAGTGACTAGCCACCTAATCAAATTATTAGGATAAGATATGATATATATATATATATATCTCAGGATTTGACTGTACGAATTAGTGGTTAAGGTGAAAATATAAAGGTATCTATATTAATTTAAAATGTATTAAGTTTGTTAAATAAGTGTTTTCATTTTAAGAGTTTAAATTTTAAGTATAATCAATGTAAACTTTTTGTACTGTTAATTATGTAAAAAATAACTTATGTATGTTTTAAAATAATTATTATAAAAAGTCTATAAATTTATTATTTATGCATAAAAATTTTAATGAATGACCACATTAACGTAAATGACAAATGAATGCATTTTTCCTTTCTCTTCTTATATATATATATATATATATATATATATATATATATATATATATATATTTTTTTTTTTTTACAAAGCTAAACTTAAATATGAATTCATTTTTTAAATTTCTGACATAATAATAGATGCATAATTTCTGAACAAACAACATTTAATCAAAATATTATGCAAAGAGAAAAGCTTCTCCAATTCCTACAAATCAATGCGTGTTCAAATTTGGTTACCTTCTACGACGGCGCTGCTGAACATAAAAAGCACAGATAACACGGAAGATGCAGTGCCGATTTTGTTTACCAATTTTGCAACCTAACTGGCATTACAGAAATGCTTGTATTAACAGTTTCTCAAAAGAAAAAAAAAATTAAAAAAGAGCGAAGCACACTCAAATTTTTGTCATCCATGGGTTCAATTTACCACCAATTTGCATACACCAGGATATAGTGTAGCGTATGTTAAGAAAGCAAAGATCAACGGAGTTTTCAAATGAATTTTCGTTTTCATTTTCATTTTAGTTTTTGGCTGTTCACTAACAAAATTTTTCTATGATTTACAAAGGCAGTGATAGGACTAAAAGGATAATCAAAAGGGCATAATATGAGTGGTTTTGGTGTCATAAGATGAAAGACACGACTTAGAATTAACCCGAAATATCTTGAGCAAATCCGCAGACATTTGGCGAACTTGCGGCGAGCAATTACTCTGCATCAGAAGCAGAATCTTGGTCAAGCCGTTAGCCTTCGTAACGGCTTCTTGCGCCGTTTGATCCCGAAACAGATAACAAACGCTCCAAAGCGTCGTAACGGCGTGTTCCGTTGCCACGCTCGACACTTTCAGCACCTTGTTCACTATCGCCGCCACGCACGCTGAATCCTCGCATATCTCCGACCTCCCTTCATTCGTAGACGACACCGTTTCCACCAACTTCAGAACCTTCTCCGTCACGGACACACTCATGTTCGAAGCCGAAAGGAGCTTCGATAACACCTTAACCGCTCCAAGACGCACCAGCTTCATCTTGCTCCGTCTCGGAGACGAAATCGCGACCAGGAACGACAAACAGTTCTCAACTAGATCCGGATCTTTCTCCGGCGTGATTAGTTTCAGCAATTCGGACACTAAGCCTTCCTTCTCCGCTATCAACAGCTTCGATTCAACGTCCACCGCGACGGATTTCAAAACCCTAGCCGATGCGATTTGTGCGGCCTGGCTTCCTTGTTGCAGAACGAGAAGCAGAGAATCCACGCTCTGTTTATCTCCCTCGCCCGGCCTCTTCAGTATCAAGTTTTTCAGCCCCTCCCGATCTTCCATTTTGCCGATAACCAAATCCAACGCCGTAACAACCTGTTCGAGGAACTCGACGCCGCCATTGACATTGTCGAGGAAGCCAACCAGCAGCGGCACGAAGCATTCCGTTCTGACGAGAAAATCGCGGTTCTCCTCGGACTCCTGCGCGAACCGCGCGATTTTCGCGAGCGAGTCGAAGCGGTTGTCGGCGCGAGTCTGCAATTCGGAGATAGCGACGAGGATTTGGTCCTTGGAGGGGAGAGTGGAGGTAGGGGAGGGAGGCGAGTGGAGTTGGTGGTGAAGCGAGTCAGACCAGATCTGGATGAGCCTCTGTAAGGTTCGGTTAGGAACGAATTCCTTGGTTTGGAGAACCTGCATGGTGGCGGGACAGGTGTTGTTGCCGTTGTCGAGCCAGCGTTGGATGCTGGCGCGGTCGTAGGTAACGCCGGTGGAGAGGCTGACAGGGGATTTCATGACGTCGAGGGATATGGGGCAGCGGAAGAAACTTGGAACGGTGATGTATAGATCGTCTCTAACCATGGTAGTGAGTGAGTGATAGAGAGACCAAGTGAAAATAAAATAAAATGGAAAACTGAAGAGGCCAAGTGTGGCGAGAAGATACAGAGAAAGAGAGAGAAAGAGGTGGGCGATGGAGCGGACAAGAAAGGGGTGTTTAAAGAAGAGAGAGAGAGAGAGTCAAAGGTAGAGTGACGTGAGATGGTGGGTTTTAAGAGTATTTGTTTTGGGTTTGAATATATTAAAATGGTGTTGGGGAGAGCAATGGGAGGAAGGGGTAGGATGGGAAAATGGCTGACACGTGCGGAGGGTGGGAAATAATTGCGTATGATGAGGAGGAGAACGTGGGGTGGGAAAGTAGGGACCACAGAGGAAGGACTTATAATTGAAATTACTTTGGTGCTCAGCCCTGGGCCCCACCCACGGTTCCATCGGTCCCCTTCATTACATCATCCCTATGTTGGGCGACTCCACCACTCCCACTGCAACTCTCCCTCTTTCTTTTTTCTCTTTTTTCCAAATCAAAATAACCTATTTCCAAGGAAAATATATATTAAAGACCATTAATTACAAAATTAATATTTATAGACTTTTTTAATTAATAATACATTACTTTAAATAAGTAATCAATCCGATCATAACGAAAAATAATAATTAATGATTCACTGTAAAATTATTTGATTTGATTTTTTTATATGATTATAGACACTATATTTAAGAAACTTAATTGCATTAAATAATCTTATTTATTTATTTAATAAATATTAGTTTAAATAATACTGAGAAAGTAATTAATTTGATGATAAATAAAAAATAATTAACGATTCATTATAAAGTTATTAAATTATTATTTTATATAATTACAGAGACTATTTTTTAACTTGAAAGAAAAATAAATTGCGTATGTTTTGTCGAGAAAAATATTAAAAGTTGATCAAATTTATATCATTACATTGAATGTAAATTATGGTTTTAGGGAAAAATAAAGAAATTTGGTAAAGGTCTTCAAAAGTTAATCCCTAAAAAAATGATTATATTAGTAGATTAATTTATATAGATCAAGTATATAAACTATGCGAAGGTGGGATTTGGGTGGTATACCTATAGGTAGACAAGTGTTTTGTGCATAAAAGAGTTTTCATGTTTGATTTGCATTAATAAATGTATGGATGTAAATATGGGTTTTACCCCGTAAGGCAATGTCCACGGTTCCAGTTGGGTTGTGTTCAATTATTTTTATTTATATTGATTATAGGTTAAAAATGAATCTGGCTCACTTAATCCATGAGATTAAACGGGTTCGAACCTTATGGTGGGTTGACCTGCAACCCATCATTAATTTTAAATTTTAAAAATAATTATAATAATATATTAATCGTAATTAATCATTTATTTTAAATTTTAAAAATAATTATAATACTTTAGTAATCCTAATTGATGTTATCCTGTCTTACCTCTATCATATATGTTGGTTGTCGCCACAAGTCAAACCCTCACTTAAACTTGTTATGAGTTGTTCGTTGTACCACTACATTTGTCATTGTACTTGAATCACTTGTCTTATTATTTGTCTACCGTACCATTACACCATGTCCATTGTATTGTTTTCAAATGTAAGAATTTGTTTCATTACCTAAACTATTGGATTGATGAATCTTTATTTGAAAATTGTAGTATCTATACATTATTTGTTGTGTTGTTATTGATTTATATATATTTCTCTTTAATATATAAATTTTTGACTTCTTTCTTCTAAATTAATTTATAGTATGAAATCGAAACAATACATCAAAGTGTCAATATAAATTGAATTGGTGATGATTTTATTATTAATGAAAAATCCAATGAGTTAATTTCAATTAATAACAAAGATACTTGATATTAAGAAAGTTAATAACAAAGATACTCGATATTAAGAAAAAATGAAGAAAACATAAGTTTTTACGTCTGAAATTTTATATAATTTAAAAAATAAAAAAATATAAATTAGTGAGACAACTCATTTAAGACACCAACTTGTGATGTGCTGAACTAAGTTATAAAATTTCTGTATTGCTAAAAAAAGAAATAGGTTGAACTCACCTATTTCAGTTAAACATGTGGGCTCATTTTCACACCCCTAAATAAATTTCGTAATTTTTATTCAGCGTAAATAAATATTTTATTTATTTATCGTCTTTTTTAAAAAATAAATTATATCCATCTGTATCCTCTCTTTTCGAAGACGTAACATTTTATTCGTTATACAAGTACCTAATCGATATTTATTATGCTTTTGACTTTTGAAGAAGGAAAAAAGTGTCGTAGATCATTTGTGTTTAAGAAACGTGTTGCTACTATATCATGTAGAGGTGGTGAGACGTTGACTGAATAGGAAATTAAAAAAAAACATTTTTATATTAATTTGAATATAATATTAATAAAATCTAATTCAACAATTTAATCCTATACCATAAAAAGTGGTTTGAATAAATAAATCTATGAAACTCGTGTATTTTCCTAGATATGATTAATAAACTAATATCACATGCTGCAAAGTCTCATTCTAACACATTACAAAACTGATCACTTCCGAATACAGTCTACAAAGTTGTCCGAGGCTCTTACAATTTAAATATATGAATTAAAAGAAAGAGAAAAATAATTAGTGATTATATGTTACAGTGTAATAATGGCACCGAAAGCAACGCTTTGGTAGGGGAGGGGCACAATGCTTCCTCCTACCATTTTTCGTTAATTGTGCCCCATTTCCACGCCAAATAAGCCTATTGATTTATGATATCTATAAACAAAATTTGATTATAAAACAATTATTTAAAATTAAATTACTTTTCTCACTGTAGCTGTGAGCTAGATAGCGTAGCGTTAGGATAGCATGTGCAGTGTTGTGGTGAGTTTGCATGAGAAACGACGCGAATGGGAGCGCGTGGATTGACGGTGAAAAAGTTTGAACGAGAAGGGGACAGGTGGTGGTATAGTGGAATTGTGATATTTGACCAAACCTGAGGGTCGGGTTGTATGGGTGGTACTAACCAAACCCTAAAGTCCAATTTGGTGTTCATGCACCGTACGCCACTGCCTAACACTGCCAAGTCAAACTTGGGAAACTTCCAAACAATCCAACTCCATCCTCTCACCATCACTCTTTCTCAAATTATATTTTCCTCTCTCTTCCTATTCTCAACCCAACCACCGCTTTTCAAGTTTAAGCTTCAAATTCAGTATCCAATTTCAAAAATCATGCTGTGTAAGTCAATTACGTGATCAGAGGGAAAACAAGATTCTCACATTCACATACTTCGCAATTACATGTCCACCCACACACACATGAGCGTTAACAAATTATCCATCAATACAATTGCCATCTTAATTAGTAACCACGAATATAACAACGGGACTAACCTTTATTCGCTGTTGTGGTTTTTTTTAAACCAAACTTTTGACTATATTAACTTACATTTATACACTCACTTTTGTCAAAGTTGAATGCCGCGTTAGCTTTGGGGCAAACAAATTAAACCACTCTTAAGATCAAGTCCTTTTTGCCAAACAAATTCGCAAAAATTTGTTATAAACACACTTAAACTAATTATTGTTATTGGTTCACATGACAACTGACTTTGCTCCTCAGACGCTGTTATGTTATCATAAACTTAAAGCCGTAGGAAGTCAAATTTTTAATCAACTTGCGTGCCAAACTCGACGGAAGAAAATATTTCTCTATTTCGTCTTTAGTTAACGTTGTCTTTGCTCCTACCTAGTTTCCACTTTCCCCACTATACTCAGAAAAAGAAATAACTAGCACTTTAAATAATCCTTATCGTTTTGTTGAATTAATGAATTGAACGAATTCCAACACTTTGAATATTTTAAATCTATTTTTTCTGAAGCATAATTGGTCATTTGGCATAATCTGAAGCAAATCATGAATTGACGAAGAAGAAAAGCAAACAAGATAAGAGTAGATGAGATGAGAATACACAACGCAAGTCACAAACCTGTTAGACCCAAGTACTTTAGTTGGAAATTTTATGCATTTTCCAGAGTTGAGGTGTTTGTAGTCATCGTTTCAAATTCAAAAACGCGTTCAGCTTCTTTGTCTTGTACCTGACTAGGTTTGGTAGTTTAGAAGATCTTCGACCATCGTTTCTGCGATAATACTGTTCCATTAATTAATCTACCTTTGTGATGTGGCACAAGCATGCCAATGAACATAGATTTAGTTGCAAATCAGTGGGGTCGTTCACAATGAGTAATTACTATCATTTATTGATCTAAGCAAAATTTACAGTTTAAGAAAGAGTTAAGATGTGCTTATATATTAGATTTTCTTCAAAGGAAAAAAAAAATGACTAAGTTAGGAGGAGGAAGAACATGTTTCAATCCTATCATGCAAGGCATTAACTAAAAGGTAATGTAATGAAGATCAATAGACATGGCTTATCACTGCATGTGCCTAAATTCAACAACAACCAATAATAGGCATACAATTATTTTAGTAGTCTTTTCAAGTGACATTTCTTGTGTTAGCTGACTTTAAATGTTAGTAAGGAAAATATGTTAAGTTTTTCAAATTTCAAGATTAGAATCACCTTTTTTCACATTGGTAACAATTTTAAGAAGGAAATTCTAAAAAAATATTTAATCTCCAGATATTAAATTAATGTGCTCATCATACAAAAACTTCAAGACATTGAAGATAAACTTATTTCGTTTTGCTTTATTCCTACTTTATAAATTCAACTTAATAAAATCAAGTTTCTTCGATCATATTCGTAGTTTTAGTTGCATAAGCATATATAAAAGTTTCAATTTAGTTTCATAATATAATTTAGTCTATATATTACTATTAAAATATAATTTAGACTAAATTTGTATTTTAACAATAATTTTAAAATCAATAATGAATATAAAAAAAGTTAAATATACTTTCATAAATACTTGATTGATTTATTAATATTCAATAAATAATAAAAAATATTTTTAGGCTCATTGAAATGTGTAGAATATAAAGTGGACAATGTAAGGAAAGAAGCATAAAGAAACCATTTCTCTTCATTCTATAATAAGAAAAGTAATGAAGAAAAAAATGTCACTTTTCACATTAATGGACAGTTTATTTTTCCCTCTTATATGAGTGGAAAAAGTAAAAAATATATTATTTTATAAAATTATCTTTACTTAAATAGTTATTCATTTTCATGTTTATAATTTAAAAAAATATTATATACATATTTCATTACTATTTTAATAAAATGTCATAAATATGAAAATGATTACAGAAATCAAATGAATAATTTTATATATTTTTATTTGTTCATAATATAATATTGTTTTATTAATTTTATTTTAAATAATTAAAAAAATATAGTTTATAATTATATATTAAAGTATATATTATTAAAAAAATCTAATTTAAAGATATTTCTTAAAAAATTATTTATTAATTAAAATTAATTAATAATTATATGGATAATTTTATAATTAAATATATATATTTAATTTAAATTTAATTATTTATTATTTTTTAAAATCAACACTTATTTTCCTTTTTATATAAAGAATACTTTTAGTCTATTTCATCTCTCTCTTTTTTAACACTTTCTCTCTTGTTAAAAACTAAAAAAGCCATTCAATTTTATTTTTATTACGAGTTATACATTTTTTTAAACAACAACAAAAAATTTACATTTTAAAGTTTTAAAAGAAAGTGAATCATTGACTATTTTAATAACAAAATCCTAATCATAAATAATATTACTCATTATTAAAAGGAAGATTTTTCTCTATTATAGAAAAAAAAACATTTTAATTCAAATATTATTAAATAAAAATGTAATTTTATACATTTAATGAATCAAATTATGTAAAATTAAATACGTATAACCACGTCCTTACAAAACTCATTCAAATTCATTAACACAATTATAATTAAATAAATTATTCATAAATATTTTAATTTATTTCAATAATAATAATAATAATAATTCATAAAACTTTTTAATTGGTTTCAATCGTTTTAAATTGATTACAAATATTTATTAATTAAAAGAAATTACGAAATCAGTTGTCCAATCACTGATTACTAATAAAAAATTTTTAAAAAAGTTGAGAAATCGCTTGCTCATTAAATATATGAGTCTTCATTACACATCACAACTACAAATAAAAATATGATAGAACAGGGGATACTATATATTTATTAAAATTCAATTTAAAAAATGAGTTTATAGAAATTAATTTACTTGCAGATTAATTGAATAAACATAGACATATTTATTTTTGAAATAGAATTGCAAAATACAACTACAAATTATATTATTTCCTTATTATATAAAAGTTCTCATTCCATAACTTCAAAACATCCAATTTTATATACTTCTGTCAAGCCCATATCCCATACATGTACGATCATACACGTGTATATATATATATATATATATATATATATATATATATATTGCATGATTATGGACATCATCATGAGTAAGTACAAATTCCAGAGAGTAGTGATTGTTTGGCTTAACAAATAATAATAGTATTTTGGATTGTTTGAGTTGTTAAACAATATTTTTGCTGAGTTAATTACTTGTATATATCACCCTAATTCCTTCGTGTTGTGGAAAATTATCAATGAGAAGAACTTTGCGAATGGTTTTGGTGTGCAGATAAGTCTTGGGAGTTTTGTTTGTGTTATCTTTCAGCTTTTCCAGCTCACTTACCAACAGGAATCCGGCATAAACAGTCACCAGATAATGAATTATGTAACTACACTTCTCATCGATTAGATTTAGACGTTTAAAACACCAACCACCTTCTTTTGTTAGTTTGCGTGTGTGCGTGTGTTTCAATTAAAAATTGTTCCCTTGTAGTATAGTAGTATCCATTATACGGGTCCCTGTTGCTTTTGCATCCAACAAAATTACCCACAAGAAAGGGAACTAGGCAACTAGCATGCATGTGTCTGTTTTTCTCCTAACTCAGACTCATAGGCATAAGAATAGAACCTCTTTCATCAATAAACTTTAATCTCAAACAGTTCCTTCACACCTCGCAAATGTTTGGTCATATATGGACATTGATTTTTAACCTATTAAGTACTAACATCAGTGTGTCTAAGTTTGCAAAGAAGTAATTACATACGCACATACCACAACAGAAGAACCATTGACGAGTACCCCTTAATATGAAAGAAACAAAGTTGAGCAGTAAAAGAGAAAAGAAGAAAATGGGGGATATCACCATAGATTTTTCTTGATTACGGTTACGTACTCTCTCACCTTGGTGATAAACTGACCCTTGGCGTTATTCTGTTGTCGTGCATGGCCAGGTGGTCGAGGATGAAAAAATTCTGAGAAAATGTACCATGTCATGAATCATGAAAGCTATAAAGGAGATGGTGAACATGTGATGCAACAGGTTGTAATTTTCTTTCGCAGCGTTGCAAAACCAAAAGTGGGGGGTCCAATCTTAATATGCCATCAATTCAGTGGGACGATTTTAGTAAGAGGAAACTTTTTCATCGCAAGTTCAATACGTGTCATTCATACTTCTCCTTGTCCTCGAATAATCTCTCAAGTATAGGACCATTTAGAAAAATTCTGTTGATTATTTGTTACTACCTCATATTCTATGGTTGATGCATAGGATCCAGTGGTTAATTCAGTGTATCTTAAATTCTCTAAAGTGTGCTTGCTTGCACGATCCCCAATGCCATAATGCTTCAATTGTTTACTTATGGTTACCTTCAATTGGGTCATCTAGGGCAATAAATTTCAACCCCTTTGACGTCACAGGAAGAAAAGTTGGTGCGGTTGATGAAATAATCACATTATCAAAAATAGCATTGTGAGGTGTCTAATTAAATGGTGACTTCTTAAAGGTAACCTTGCTGCTTTGAACTGGATTTGAATAGTCCTATAGACAAATTGAAACCTGCATTTGGCATTGAAAAGTTTCCACAATAGAGCCAAAAGTTAAGTGGAGACATAGAGAAAAAGAAGGAGATAGGAAAATGCATTGCATGCATGATGAATGATGCATTGCTGGGACAGGCAAGAGCACTGAGCTCCAAAGGCATGCCCCATCCTAAAGGGCTTATGAGCTGAGGAAGGGCATTGAAAGAGCACTGCCTCTGTCACAGCCAGGTACAGCACAAGGGTTAATGAAAAATACATACATACTGTACTGCTACTGATCAGCTTAGATACGAAGAAGAATATGGGTCCACCCAAAAGCCCTGACATTGCATTTATTTCTCTTCTGCTTGGAGTTGGGGCGTGCACTTTTCTGTCTCTAGATGTTTGCTAATCAGTTGGACCTCAGCATTCAATATTTGATCATGTTAAAGTCCCCTCCAGAGACCGAATGTTAGTATTTCAAAAAAATTGACTTGAGATTACAACATTTCATTAAACAATTTTTGGGTCTTGAATTTCTTTAACTAATCCCTGCAGTGGGAAGTAGGGTGGTTAACTTCAATCATTGGACTATCTTTGAATTGGTAAACAAAGAATGAGATGAAATGGAATACAAATATCTATATATTTTGATATTTTATAGAGGTTGAAGAAACGATGAATGTTAATGTAATTTGCCCTAAAACTAATGTTCCGTAACTAAAAAATGCATAGGTGGGATTGGGACTTATGAGTGAAAAAGTGGATAAATGGATGGGGGTGTAGGGTGTGGTGTGGCTAAATTTTGTTGTGAATGTGAAAATGTAGGTATAAACGAAAGAGAGAGGAAGTGAGAATGTAGGAGAGTAGCAGTTGAGTTACTGTTGGTGCACAATGACAGGGCAATGCAGTGGCACCTTTAATTAGGGGAATGGGTTAAAGACAGCGAGAAGCAGAGAAAGCACTTCAAATCAGAGCCTACAAAGGTTCTACGGCAAATGGACAAGTTTTCCAGTAATGGAGGGGTCTAAAACTACAGTTCCCAGTTCCTTAGTCGGCCATTAATAAAAGGGGTGGGTCCTAACACTCACCAAACCACCAAAAAGATGACATAACACAACCCCCCTTCAACCAAGAACAAATCTCATTTCTCTCTCTCTCTCTCTCTCTCTCTCTCTCTCTCTCTCTGTACCTCACGTACTGTTCCCTCTTCCCTCATTCTTTTTCTTCATTTTCATTACAATAATAATAATAATAAATAATCACTCCACCCCATAAGACCCGTTCCAAAAAGCTTTCTCCACCCTTTTCACCTTTCTGCTTCTAACACTACTCTACTTCTTGTAGAACCATCTGAATTCCTTTTGACTCAATCGCTTTATCTATCCCTCCAGACCCAGTTTCCACTCTTTCTCTTCACCAAATCACCCGCCATATGAACCCTCCAACACGGCCACAACTTCAAATATCAAACAGGCAATTCCGTGGCATATATTAGCCCATGTTTCTTCCTCTTTCCACCCCAAAAGCCACCTCTTTCAACCACATCGTGGCCACCTTTTACACGTCTTCCCAATCGTGATCAGTTGTATACTGACACCTTGATACAATACAACACAACATGGTTTTGCATCGGAGACCTCTTATTGTAGTAATCTGGTTGTTCTTGTTTCTCTTCATATTGGGCCACTGCCATGCCTCGAGAGCAACCAACGTGTTCAAATTCAAGCCTAAATCTCAACATCACGGTCACTTCTCTGGGTTCTTGCCCAAAAGGATGCCTATACCGTATTCCACTCCTTCGAGGAAACACAATGACATTGGCTTAAGAAGTTGGAGATCACCCTGATGAGGAAGCAAGCAGAATAGTAGTTTTGATTTGGGTAAAGGTGACCTCTGGGTTCTTATTTATATTAATTTTATTTTCTCCTTTTTCTTCATCATCTCTTTTCTTTATCAAGAAACAAGGGAAGACGATTAACTAATGTACATGGCGGGTTATTCATTGTCTGTAGTACGTTTGATCATGTTACTTTGTTTCAAAGGGATGTAATAGGTATGATCTGTTAGATGGATTTCTCCTTGCTACTTGGAAAAGGAGGAACTGCTTGTTTAGTCTCTAATTTTCTTTCTTTTTTTGGAGTGTGAATCGATTAATATAGACAATGAAATGGTCAACAACAACTTCATAGAATTCTCAGTTACGTAGTTTAAATGTTGTTCTGCTGTATACACGACATGATGTTTTCATTATTCAATGCTCACAGAGTGGTACTATTAGACATGCATGTGTTGTATTTCTTCAGTTATTAATTATTCATGAACGAAGGCAGAAGATCGGTGGTTAACACAGTTTTCATATTAAACCGAATATGAAGATACTTCGATTTAAGGTTAATACATGATTAGTGATTAATATTGAATATGAAGACTATTTTGGTTGGTATAGTACAAGTTGTGGCTGGCATCAAACCTACCCCGTTGAAATTACCCGTGTGCAAAAGCACCATTGAAATCTGGTAAGGTGATATCAGTGTCATGCGATGCGTGCGGTTGCGTGTGTTGCTTTCTTGATTTGATATGCAAAAAATAAATGTATGTGTCTGGACGCATACACTACACTGTTGAATAATTGAGTTAAGATTTTCGAGGATTATCTCAGTATCTCACACACGAGTGCTACAATGGCAGTGTCTGCGTATATACACGAGTTCAATCAAAGAAATAAAAAGAAAAATAGAAAGAAAACCACCGAATTCTTCGTGTATATCTGTAATGATAAAAAGCAAGTTTGCTTTATGTGGTGTTACTTGTGAATATGCCCAATTAACGCCAAAACTTTGGTATATGTTATTATTTCATGTCATCATAACTTCTTTGGATAAAGGGGAAAAGAAGTTCGACCAAGAGCATGAAGTTTGAGGAATAATATTATTTTACTCATAATTATAATACTTTCACTCCCAAGGATTTCCAAGTCTCTAATCTACTGTTTCTTTTATTATTAACATTTCATGTACACAAATAATATCAAAGTCAAACCCGAATCAAAGTTTAGATTCTACTGTCTGTCAAAATCTTCAAGTTAATTTAATTTGGTCGTTAATTTGTTATTTTGAGACCTTAATGTTGTATCCCTTCTGTCCTAAGTTGGATAATTTCTACAAAATGAAGCTTCATTGGATTCCAATAGAAAGGACATAAAGATTCATGAGGAAGAGAGATTAATTAACTACCTTTTTCTTTGTATATCTGGGAAATATATGATGCAGTATTTCCATTTTCCGTTTCAAGTCACTTGCTTTTTCCTTCGTCAAGACACAAATTACAAGTTGTCATGTACACTTTTTTTATTTAGTCGAAATAATTAGAAATAAATGGAAAGTGAAAAGTATTTCCTAAATACGGATTAATGAATTAATCTTTCAAAGGTTGGTTTTGGAAATATTGTTTCCAAATGTGAAAAACACAGCTCATGAATCCGATCCCATACGCATTCCATACCTCATGCTACCTAACTATGACGCAATGCTCTTGAAATAAAAATTAAATGACCCTTTGCTAAAAGTCTTGATTTTCATTTTTCTTGGTTGAAAAAACACCTAGAATTGAAGTCTCATTTCAACAGATCACTGTGTCTTGTCGTGACTCAGGATTCAATGACACACTAAGAAAAAAACCTGGTTCCGTGGCCAAAACTAGGGGAAAGAAGGAGAAGAAGATATTATTAATTAGAGTAAGGAACATGGCTGTTTCAAGGTCATTACTGAGTGTCCCCACGTAGAAATGGTAATGAAAGAATAATATGAGCAATGGGGGTGGGGGGTATCTTTCCCATTAGTAAGACTTATCAGGGAAACCCTTATCCTGAATTCCCTATGTGATGATATAGAAATGTCAATGGATTCTTTGAATTCTAATTCTGGAAAAAGATTTGTCTGAAACTTGTTCTCATTTCCCCTTTCCAATCAACTTGTCTAGGGGTCCCTTCACCTTGGCACCATTAATTTCTTGTACCATGTCATGTGCTGTTCATATCTATACTAATTTCCAGTGTTATGTTGTCCCAGTCAAACTTCATTAAACAATGTTATTTATTAGGGAATAGACCCTTCTTCAATTTGGCCCTTTCAAATTTATTTTTCTTCATCATTTGACTACACCAGCAGAAGAGTACCAAGATCCCTATTTCAAGGCAACAAGTACCATTATACCATAAATAAATAGACAAACAAGAATAAAAAAAAAAAAAAAAGTTTCACAGACAATTTGCGAGGGAATTAAGAACACAGTTCGATGGGATTCATTTCTGGATTCTAAGACTATATCCATGAGTATAATAATATAAGTAGGGTTTAAAAATGTTGATAATCATGGTTTTAAAATCCTAAAACGGCATGCTTTTCCCACGTTTGTCGTTTAAAGGAAGAGAATAATGAACATTCAATGCATTAATTAGATTTAATCGTTTATTTGAAGTTTAATAATTTACAAAGGGATTAATTAAGATGATGTAATATGTTTCTTTTTAGTGATAATGCAACATCCTCTGATTTGCTAAGATCTCTAATCAGGTTTGTGTGGCTTCATTCATGTGCCCTGTAATTGTAGGGCCAAATGAATGATGGAGGGAGGGACATTTATTGTGAAGTCATATATATATATATATATATATATATATATATATATATATATATATATTTCCTTATTAATCAAAAGGATTAAATAATTGCAAATGATTACCTTCATGGTAAGTGAGTTCATGACCCCACGGTTAAAGCAATGGTATATATAATGCGTATCTCATATTAATCCAATAATTTTTATACTTTCTACATTTGTATTACTTAAATTAAACCATTAATAAGTAAAAATGATTGTCTATGTTTCCAAAATTTTAAAATCATTGTCTTAGTTATTGATGGACAGCCCCAATGTTATGCATCATAACTATAAATGTATTTATCCAAATTATGTAATGTACTTTTTCACCGGATCTCAACTCATGATAATGTTTAATATTATATACTTTTTAATAAACTTAAATTTAAATATTAATATAAAATTTTAGAAGATTAGGTTTCACTACTAGAAAAATGGTTAATAGTGATCGAAATTAGTAACCGAAAAATTCGATCAATGATAATAACTGAATCAGTGGATCGATTTCTATTTTATATTTAGTGACTAAAATTTCAATCACTGAAATCGGTCATCTGATTCGGTCACTACTAGAAAAATGGTTAATAGTGATCGAAAAATTTAGTTAGTAATAATAACTGAATCGGTGACTAATTTCTCTTTTTATATATAGTGACTAAAATTTCAGTCACTAAACAAATAATATATAAATTAATGACCATTTTTTATTTATATAAATATTTTTTTAAAATATTTTAATAATATATTAAATATAAATCTACTTAATAATTTAAAATAATTGATAAAATTTTTAATAAAATTATAAAAATTTATAAAAAATAATTTATTAACTTATTAAATTATTTAGTAATATAATTATTTGATTTTATTTTTTAATTTAGTACGTGAATAAAAAAATTAAAATTAATTATTAAATTAGTCACCAATTTGATCATTAAAGTAATTATTAATGTTGTCTTTATATATATATATATATATATATATATATATTATATATATATATATATAATTAATGATTAAATTAGTTATTAATTTAGTCTCTTTTTGTATATATATATATATATATATATATATATATATTACTTTTATGTTAATAAAAATGTATTTTAATGTATTTATAAAAATTTAAAATTATTTTAATTATTGAATTGATATTTCAAATTTATATTAATATTTTAAATAATTTAATAATTGAATAAATATTTTAAGTTTATATTAGTATTTTTATAAAAATGTAAAGATTAAGTGAACTTATTTTAAAATTTAATTAAACATAATAATATAATATACTATTAACTATAAATCTGTGAAGATTTAATTAAAAAATAATTTTAAGTTTTATCGTTTTTATTTAAAAAAAGTTGTTAAAAAAATTAAAATAATTAATTAAAATAAAAATTTTAATTTAATAAATGTGTTAATATTATTAGTTATTGGAGAATTAAATTTATAATAATAATTATATAAAATTATAGAATTAATAAAATTTAAATTATTGGTATTTTTTTAATCATGAAATTAAAATTTGATAATATTAATAAATTAAAATTAAAAAAATTAAAAAATTTATATATATATATATATATATATATATCACTTTAATTATTTTAATTAAAAATAATTTCATAAAAAAACTAATATATTGAAAATTATTTTAAAATTTAATTAAACATAATAATATAATATACTATTAACTATAAATCTGTGAAGATTTAGTTAGAAATTAATTTTAAGTTTTATCGTTTTTATTTAAAAAAATTTGTTAAAAAAATCAAAATAATTAATTAAAATAAAAATTTTAATTTAATAAATGTGTTAATATTATTAATTATTGAAGAATTAAATTTATAATAATAATTATATAAAATTATAGAATTAATAAAATTTAAATTATTGGTATTTTTTTAATCATGAAGCTAAAATTTGATAATATTAATAGATTAAAATTAAAAAAATAAAAAAATATATATATATATATATATATATATATATCACTTTAATTATTTTAATTAAAAATAATTTCATAAAAAAACTAATATATTGAAAATAAAAATGAAAAAGTATATATTTTTTCTTTAATTTAATTATATTTTTTATTTTTTACTTTTTGGGTTTTAGTCCATAACAACAATTTAGTTGCCCTAATTTTAGTTTAACTTAAAAATCTCATCGTCTTACCACAAAAATATATAATTTCTCTTATTAACATTTTTTTTATCAGATTAAGAAAATTATTACTAATAAGATTCAAAACCAAGTACATTAGAGTTAGATACTAATACTCCAACCACTAAACTGTTAGAAGTTTTTAATAAAAATTTACAAATAAATGTATATCCATGTAAATATATAAATATAAAATATATAAATACAAATATATTTATATATTTTGATATATTTATACGTTCGATGTGAGGGTCACGCTAGAGGGTGAAAGTGTTGTTGAGTGAGTTTTCAAAATTTGATGTCAAATTTGTGAGCAAGTCTCTTTATATGGATTTATAATTTAATGATAAAATATAATTTGTATAATTTATTTATATAATGATATAAAATAATTGTTTTCTTTATTTATTTTTATTTTATTTTATTTTAATTTATTCTTTTTATCTTTTTTTCTTCTATTATTTAATTAAAATTCTTATATAAAAATAATTTTTTCATTATTAAAAATAATTAAATATTTATTTTCAAAATTATTTTTTAAAATTATTTAATTTAACAAATTATTATGAATTAATCTATGTCTGGAAAAAATAATTATTAAAATATGATTTTGATTAATTTATAATAATATATGTTAGGAAAAAATTGTTCTATTAATAATCATAATTAGATTAATTTATAATAATTTGTTAAATTAAATAATTTTAAAAAT